ATTACATAGTAAATTAACTACTATATATTGTATAGATAGTCTCTAGGTCTTTAAGAGAGATAGTGTTACTATGTAGACTTTTTACTAACTTTAACGTACTTTATAGGCGAGTTGCTCACACACCTAAGTTGCTTACTTTTGCTAAAACCCTACTAAACTACCTTTTCTACACTAATGCATTCCCTACAACACTACTTAGACGCGCTAAAAGAACATTAGATACAGCTTACGCTCTAAGCTTTTAAATAAGACATAAAACTTTTAAAAAAATATGCTATAGCTATATATAAGGTCTTATAAAAAATAATAAATAACTATAGCGCTAGATAACCTTTATAAGCTAATTCTACAGCTAAATTATAAAAGCTAGGCAATAAAAAAAAGTAGGTAATTATTAAGACTATACTTAAGCTATATGCGCAAGGAATTTCCCCTTAGATAGCATTTATAGCTAATATAGCTAATTCTTTGCGCGCTAAGCATAATTTAGGCTATGTTTATATAAACTAGCCTAGTATGTTTGTAAAGTGTTATTTAAAGCTTAAAGTAACATTTAAGTGTAAGTATAACTATAAAAAAGCTTTTTATAAAAGTTCTAAAGTAATTTAGAGCAGGTTTAGCCTTATAAAGAATATTAAAGCTAAGTATAGTATCTAAGATAATAACATGTACAACTTTAGTAAAATAAAGTTTATAATTAGCTAAATATCTTTTAACTATACTTATACTTAAAACTTTACTTTAAGCTTTAAATAACGCTTTATAAACATACTAGGCTAGTTTATATAAACATAGCCTAGATTACGCTTAGCGCGCAAAAAATTAGCTATATTAGCTATAAATACTATCTAAAAGGAAATTCCTTGCGCATATAGCTTAAGTATAGTCTTAATAATCACCTGCTTTTTTTTATTACCTAGCCTTTATAATTTAGCTGTAGAATTAGCTTATAAAGGTTATTTAGTGCTATAGTTATTTATTATCTTTTATAAGACTTTATATATAGCTATAGCACATTTTTTTAAGAGTTTTATGTCTTATTTAAAAGCTTAGAGTGTAAGCTGTATCTAATGTTCTTTTAGCACGTCTAAGTAGTGTTGTGGGGAATGCATTAGTGTAGGAAGAGTAGTTTAGTAGGGTCTTAGCAAAAGTAAGCAACTTAGGTGTGTGAGCAACTTGCCTATAAAGTACGTTATAGGCTTTAAGCTAAGGCGCTTCTAACTATGTAGGCTTTATAGAGTAGAAAGAAGGTCTGCCTTTATGCAGAGACGCCTTGTCTCTAGTAAATTATCTAGCTTAGAGAAGGTTCTCTTATAATTAGTAGCTACTATAAGAATGCTAAAGATTATAAAGGTAAAGCATAATAAAATAAAGTACTTATTAGCCTTCTTTATTCTATATAGAATTAAGTTACATGTAAATAATAACTTTTTTAGTATAGGTAACTTAATTATCTAGCGCTTAAACTTATTATAGTAATAGGTTAGGCAGGTGTTATTACCTTATAAAGTAGCTTTTATAAAATCTAACTAGCTTTTAGCTAGCTTTATATATGCCTTCTTTAGCAAAGGCTTTAGAGTACTAATAGAAAAGGCAGTGTCTTTAAACTCTATCTATAAGTGTTAAAAGCTAAGGTGGTAGTTATTTAGCTAGCTTTTATATATATAAGGTTTCTTATAAAGCTTCTTATTATAATTAAAAGGCACTATTTACACTTTATCTATGTAACCTTTTATGTGTAGGTAAAAACAGTAGGTAGTGTAATAAGCTAAAGTGTTCTTTAACTTACACATATAATTTATAATCTTAATATAAGCTATGTTATAAGTAGCTTAAATATAGTTCTTTAAAGTGCTAATGTTATTAAAGTTAATGTTATTATACTAAAAAAGCATCTTATTAGAGGTAGTTATAAGCTAATTAAGCGTAGAAGGCACCTTCTAGATAGCGCCTAACGTGCTAGCTACGTCCCTGCCCTCTATACAGGTAGTAGCCTTTTTAAAGGGCTATAAAAATTTTTAGTACTCTATAATTATTACTTAATTTTTAGTAAAAAGGCTATTTTTTTTAATAAACTAGCGCTTTTAAAGATTACTAAGTTAGAAGTATTAATAAAAGCCTTAGTACTAATATTTAATAAGCTTATAGCTAATATACTTATTAAAAGGCATGTAAAGCTTAAGCGTGTGTGTAAATAGTTATAATAAAAGTTTTACTTTATCTTTACAAGTTTAATAATCTCTAGCGTTTTAACCTTGCAATCTAGCTCTAATTAAGTGTTGTAGGTTATCTAGCACTGTTTAAGAAGCTAGCAGGCTTGCAGTGTATAGATAAAGGCAATAATGTTAATTAGAACACCTAGAGGGCTAGCTTTACACTACTTATTAAGAAACACTTTTTTCTTTTTAAAATGCTCTTTTATGTTTTTATACACTTTATAATCTTTACTAAATATAATTTGTTAGGTAGTAAAGTTAATTATATAGTAAGTGTAATATAGTTATTAATAGTAGAAGTTAAAGTTATATTTAATAGCTAGAGTGTTAATTATAAAGTTATTATTAGTAGTGTTATTAAAAATAAAGTAACCTAAGTTATAAATAGAGATCTTAAAGCTTTTAAGTATAGTATTAATAATAGTAGCAATATTAACACCTATATGCTAGCCTATTAATAAGGGCAGGCTAAGTATGTAATAATAAGGCGCACTGTTGTAATTAAGGTAGTGTATATAAATCTTTATAAACGCCTACTTACTACCTGTTAACATCTAATTATTAAAGAAGATATATATAGCTAATTATATGTTATAAAGATAATTAATAATAGTAGGTATATATAACATATACTCTACAATTATATAAGCTTGTAGAGTATTGTAGAACTTCCACAGCTATGCCTTAGCTAACAGGTTAGCCTGCTGTAACATAGCTTAAAAAGCAGCGCTTTTAATTATAAAAAGCACCTAGTTATTAGCTACTACTTAGTTAAACACTAATTATAGAAAGTTTGTACATAAGAAGCTTTTTATAATAAGGTTAGTAACACTCTAAAATACCTTAAGGCCTTTATAGTAAAGGTAAGTAAGCAGGAAGGATTACTAGAAGAGAGTTATAATATAAAAGGTAACTTTTAGACTATTTTTATTAACACTATAGCTAGCCTTACAATTAGTAAGATAGCGCATAATTAACATAGTTAATAGATTAGCTTAATAGAACCTATTAAAGTGCTTATAATAGTAGTAATAGTAGTAAAGCTAGTATAAGCATTATTACTTGCAGTGCTAAAGGTAATACTTAGACTACTAAACCTAGCTTTTTTAACTGCGCTTTACTATATAAGCTAGCTTATAATAGTTAAGTAAACATGTCTATTTAATGCTCTTATACACGTTGTTATTATTATTGTTAATGTTAGTAGTAGAGGGGGTGCCTTCTATAAAGCTTTTATTAGTGTTAAGCTCTAACAGCATGTTAGTAGCTAAATTAGTAAAACTATTTTTAAAAGTAATTTATAAAGCTGCGCTTTTAAGCTGCTAGGTTTAGACTTTTATAAAGTTACTATTTATGCCTTCTAAATAATTAGGCAACGCTATATTAATAAAGAGGGCGTTAGTAGAGTAAAAGAGATAGTAGAGGCAGGTAAGTTAGTAGGTAGTAGAAGGTAAGAAATTTTAGATTTATAGCGCTAAGCCTAGTTAGGCAACTATTACAACTCTAAAGTCTCTTAAAGCTAAGCTGCCTTATACTATATTTACTACTTCTACACACTAACGTACTTCACAGGCAAGTTGCTTACACACCTAAGTTGCTTACTTTTGCTAAGACCCTACTAAACCACCCTTCCTACACTAATGCATTCTCTATAACACTACTTAAACGCGCTAAAAGAAGGTTAGATACAGCTTACACTTTAAGCTTTTAAACAAGACATAAAACTCTTAAAAAAATATGCTATAGCTATATATAAAGTTTTATAAAAAATAATAAATAACTATAGCACTAGATAACCTTTATAAGCTAATTCTATAGCTAAATTATAAAAGCTAGGTAATAAAAAGAAGTAGGTAATTATTAAAACTATACTTAAGCTATATGCGCAAGGAATTTCCTTTTAGATAGCATTTATAGCTAATATAGCTAATTCTTTGCGCGCTAAGCATAATCTAGGCTATATTTACATAAACTAGCCTAGTATATTTATAAAGTGTTATTTAAAGCTTAAAGTAAAGTTTTAAGTGTAAGTATAGTTAAAAAATATTTAGCTAATTATAAACTCTATTTTACTAAAGTTATACATGTTATTATTCTAGATGCTATACTTAGCTTTAATATTCTTTATAAGGCTAAACCTGCTCTAAATTAACCTAGGACTTTTATAAAAAGCTTTTTTATAGTTATACTTATGCTTAAATATTACTTTAAGCTCTAAATAACACTTTATAAACATACTAGGCTAGTTTATGTAAATATAGCCTAGATTATGCTTAGCGCGCAAAGAATTAGCTATATTAGCTATAAATGCTATCTAAGGGGAAATTTCTTACGCATATAGCTTAAGTATAGTCTTAATAATTACCTACTTTTTTTTTATTACCTAGCCTTTATAATTTAGCTATAGAATTAGCTTGTAAAAGATATTTAGCGCTATAGTTATTTATTATCTTTTATAAAACTTTATATATAGCTATAGCACATTTTTTTAAAAGTTTTATGTTTTATTTAAAAGCTTAGAGTATAAGCTGTATCTAATGTTCTTTTAGCGCGTCTAAGTAGTGTTATAGGGAATGCATTAGTGTAGGAAGGGTGGTTTAGTAGGGTCTTAGCAAAAGTAAGCAACTTAGGTGTGTGAGCAACTCGCCTGTGAAGTACGTTAAAGGATCCTGTATTTTCTAGTAAACCTAAGATCCTAGAGATTTAAGTCTATTAATTAAGTTAATTAAGTCAAGTTATCAAGTTGACTTGATTGTTGCCAACTCTATACGTGGCAACGTCATCATGGCGTGTCTACCATCAGGCCGGATAGGAAACAACCCGGCAGCTGCTGTCGTAGGTTAGCTTACCACTAAATTCCGGTCTGTCAAGTTCGCTTTGATGGTGGGAATTGGCGGCGGAGTTCCGAGTATAAGAAGACGTCGTGGTCGGTCACCCGCACTCCCAGTATAGCGGGGTGGTCTAGTACGATTTCGGGAAGACCGGCGCAAATGGACAGAACAGAGTTCATCAACGCACTGCCAACGGTGCTCCTTGATGCGATCGCGAAGCTATGGGCCAACCATTACCGTGGCCTAAACAATATCTTGGCGCATCTATCTACTTCCGACTGGTCGGCGCGATTCAGTCGAGAAACAACGGGATCCGATGTTCTCTTTCAAGCGGCATACGAGGGCCTGCAAGGAAGTTCTACACCTAGTACTCACCCTGTAGTGCACTAGTGGGCATTTCACATACAAGACAGACTAGCGAGCAGAGCTGTCACGATTGGCAGCTCTCATAATTGGATACGCAGTTCAAAATGAGGATGTCTTTTCCACTGCGTACTGTCTCGTCCTCTTATCGCGACAGCTGCACACACAACTCTCACGCCAGGAAAGTGTTGGGCTTAGTAGCCTGTCACGAGACGCAAATCTGGATAAGCGGTTCAGAGTCGATCTGTGGTTTATTCTATGTAGCCTATGCCGTGTATATAGCCAATCAAAAGCAAAAAGAATGTGCGACAACTAGTGAAGGAAATCAAACATCTATCTCTGCTTAATATCAGGTCCCAATCGATAGGCTGTGGCGCCTGCGCCACAGCTAGCAGACCTATACAAGATCGACAGAAAGAGCTAGAAAATAGAAATCAGTCCAAAGTTCCAGTGCCTGCTGAACTACTACTTAATTTGGTACAAATTGATCTAGGTACAAAACAAGCGTATTGATGTCAACTAGAATTCGTCCTCCTCATCCCCTTTATCGGCACTTTCTACTGTCTCGGCATCCATTAAGGTGTCTCGGCTGGGGGAATGATTGTTAGTCAGCTTCTTAAGGCATCTCTATTATTCACTGTACATCTTGCCAAGCCTTTTCTCTTATTAGTTTAAAAAAGGGCTAGATTAATGTCTAATTAGCCTATAAAACTTTCCACCACTTTTACAAATATTCTAGATTTTTAAGGCAAATAAATATATTTTACTAGGTTTATTACTATATTCTAGGTGTTTTAATGCAATATTATAATGCTATGTTCTGTTGTTAGTAGGCTAAAGTTTGCCCCTTTGTTACTGTTTACAGTTTTAAGGTGTTGCTAAGCTAGAATTAGTGTGTTAGCGTCTGTATTCTAGTACTGTCCCCTTTTCTTAGTTATATCTGTCTAATTCTGGCCAGATATTTGTAGATATCTGCTAACACTGTTACTTAGGCTTAGTATGTCTTCCTAGCCTTACTGCAAGGAATGTTAAACCTATTGCCTATTGTCTAACTTTGCAACTAACTAACACAGTGCTTTATATAAACATTGTTAGCAGCATAGGAGATTTGTTTGTCTATATCTCTATTCTTTCTTTATTATTGCTAAATTGTCCTAGAGGAAACAACGCGCTTTTTAGAAAATTAATTCTAACCTACTAACACAAAGGGTACAGTACAACGCTTGCAAAGAACAATCTTTTTATTGCTAACAGATACAAACTGTATCTCCTACTCCTTTGCATCTAAATGTGTTTAATTCTGTCTTAATTAGTTGTATTTCTCTAACATTTACATCTGCTTCTTCTTTTATCTACTTAAATGTTAATTAGTTTACTTTAACTTCTACACCTTTATTTCCCTTTATCTGTCTAAACCCCTAACTTTAGTTAACTTCTCTGCTGTTTACTGTGTCTTAACATACTCTAATTGCATTTGCTTTCTAGCCTTCTATATTTCTTAAGCTTAATCTAATTAATACTAAAAAACTATGCCTAGCTGCATATATTATAAGTGTACTTTACTATTCGCCTATTAATCTTGGCCTAATGCGCGATTCTACTGCTATGTGTACAGAATGTAGTGCTTATTATTAGATTAATAAACGTTTGGCTAGGTCTACTACTAGCTAGCTAAAATATAGGTTCTGCTGCCTCTAGGGGGATATCTATTTAGAGTTCTATTAGAACCTGCTAGTTATTATCTAAAGTTTGTTAGATAGTTCTTATGCAAAAAGTGCACATTTCTGTAATAATATTTGTACGTATAACGCTTCTCTAGCCTTTACTTCCGCCAATTACACTGCTACAGATCGCAACGTGCGTGGGAATAGCGTTAGGATATTTTAGATTATAGGGGAACTTTACTACTTACAGGGTCTATTAGAGCCTGCTTAGGGGGTTGCTGCTAGCTACGCGCAGTTATACTTCTATAACTTAGAGTTTGCCTTAAGTACTTAGCTGCAGCGCAACTAGAATTTAAACCTAGACCTAACCCTATTACAGGAGCTTATGCATATGTTAGAGGCAGATGCCTGTAATCTATAGATTTCTATTTATAAAACTGCCCACAAAAGACTAAAAAGGGCTAGGCGTGATAGTTAGAATATTTAGATTATTATAAACCCTTAATTAAAGCTTATTATTAAAGCTAGTGCTAACTAATAATAGGAAAATCTGCTAGTTTTAAATAAAGTTGCTAGCTTAATTATAAAGGATTTTAATAAGAGTATAGGTTGTAGTCTAATTTTGCATTATTATAATAGTGACAACTTTACTTAATTTTACCCTTAAGTCTGTTTTTCTTATCCTGCCTATTAGCCTCTCTATTATGTCCTTATGTTTCCTGCTAGTTAGCCTGGATTCTCCTTTAGGCTTACGCTGCGTAATTCTAATAGAGTCTAGAAGAATCTTTATGTTACTAATACTATGTTTTATTAATTCTATTTATTTCCTTAAAGGGGTTGCAATGTAGTACCCTTTGCCTATAGCTAATTGTTCTAACAGCAGATAATAGATTGCTAGGCATAGGTTAAACAGAGAGAGCTTTATTAGGTCTATAATAATTAGTTAAAACTCTAAGCAGATCTCTATTAGGGCATTAGTAATGCCCTACACTAAGATAATTTTAACGCGCAATCTGTTAGTATTTATACTATACTCCCTTTAAGTTACATTAGCAGTAGTTAGTTTATATCTTAGTGTTACTAGAATTCTATAGCTATTATCTAGAAGCTTAGACGCCCTTCTCTATTTATTACATTTACTGTAAATCCTAAGTGGCCTAAGATAATAGTAGAACTTAAACAGCCACAGTGTGCTTTAGATTAGCCTAATATAATTGCTTAAATATTTAAGTTGCAGCTAGATTCCTTAATAAAGGATATTAAGTTACAGCAAGTGTTTAGTTGCTTTACTAGCATTATTTACATAATTAAGTATTAGAAGTAGGGACTTCCTTATGCCCACATCCTACTCTTTATGCACCTAGATAATAGAGATTAGCTCCTATTGCCTAATTTTATTAATTGTGTTATATAGGCCAAGCGTCTAACACAGTCCCAGGATCCTAATAGTATTCTAACTAATATTGTTATAAGGTCTATAGTACACAGTCCTTACAGCAACTTAAATCTATCTGCTAGCTGCATGCAGGTGCTTCCTAGGTTAGAGCAGCCTTCTTGCTAAAAAAGATTTCTAAAGGATTTTGCTATAAAAACTATAGTAAAGGAGAATAGTTATTTAATTTATTATTAGTAAGATAATAGCTAAGTCTAGACAGTTAAGTGTAGACAACATAAAGTTGCAGTTAACAATTAGTAGATTGTTCCTTACAGTCTGTTCCTGTCTAGGCAATATAATGCGCATGTTAATGTAGAAGTCTGCGCATCTGTTAAGGCTATTAAATACATTTATAAGTATATATATAAGGGCACTAACTAGGTTACTGTTTGTATCTAGGATTAAGACAAGGTTACATCCTACCTACAGCGTTAGTATATCAGCCCTACTGAGGCAGCATGGCGACTGTTCGGTTTTCCTGTACACAGGGAGTGGCCTCTAGTGGTTTGTCTGGCAATTCATCTGCTAGGAGGACATGTGGTATCCTTCTAAGATAATGACGACGCAGATGCAGTACGCAGTCATATAGAAGGCGCTTAGTTAACTCTAATAGCGTGGTTTCAGTACAATTCCTAGCACACTAACAGGCTGCATCTACTATACTAGGACTTTCCTACAGATTACTAGTGGAATTTAGCCACGTGTGCTTAGACTTAGTATTGCAAAACTGTAATGTCTATTAGGCGTATGTATTTTTGTGGTCTGTCTGCAGAGGAGCGCTTTTATTTGCAAATGTTGTTAACCTATATCCCTAGGGCAACTAGCTTTAGTAACCTGCGTACTGTGCAAGGTAAGCTTTATCTAACATTTAAAGACGCCTGTTTAGCTTATAGTTTATTACAGAAGGACTAATCTTAGAATTATATCTTCTAAGAACTTTAACTTACAGCTACTAGCTCCTTATTATAATAAATATTTGTGCAGGCGCTAGTATTTAGTAACATACTTAATTTAGTAGCTATCTAGACAACATTTTATGCTAACTTCTTAGATAATCTACCTCTGCAAATAGCCTTTATTAATCCTCTTCCTACTAAATCTAAGCTGTTGTAAGATTACAGCCTGTAAATCTTAAACTAGATGCTCCTAGAGTTACATAGTAAAACGCTATCTTAATTTAGAATGCTAATGCCCTTGCATAATTAGATCCTTGTTACTGTTCCTTTCTTAGTACATAAGCAGATGTTATATAATAATATTGCTAAGTATACTACTTTTACTAAGTCCTATAACTAATTAAATTGCAGTTAGAAATTAGCGTTTAATACTATTAAGTCTACTGTGTGTTTAGATCTAAACAACACTTAGTTTTTTATTTAGAGCCCTAGTAGTACTAGCAAAACCTTCCTCTATTAAATGTTATGTTCTTAATTTTAGTCTTAGCGTAAGATTGTTCTCTGCGTGGCTTTGTCTAGTATTGCAGCGCTACTTCTTCTAGGTGGCAGAACTGCGCACTTAAGGTTTAAGATACCTATTAAGATTACAGAGGATTCCTTCTGCACGTTTACTGCAAACTCCCCTACTTCTAAGCTGCTTTGTAAAACTAGCCTTATTATCTAGGATAAAGTTCCTATGCAGCACTAGTTATGTTTTAAGGCTGTTAATTAAAGTTTCTGCAATGTACTATAGAGCAAACTGCCTTTTAGTAGCATTTTATTAGTATTTAGCAGTAATTTTTTGCAGATTCTGCTAGTTGTACCTAAGGGTGGCTAGGGTTAAACAGTGCAGGCATGCCTTTAACAGTCCCCCCTCTAGCGTTGTTTTACAGTTCTGACTTTAACTAAGAACATAAGAATGCATGCTAAGGCTGCAAATTAGGCTTATGTAGACTAGATACTCTCTGTATCTAGAGATAAGCAGACGCACGTTAATCTGCTCCCTAGTGTCTAGAAGTTTGTCTCTACAAGTTGCTTTTATTCCTATGTGTATCTATTAGATATGCTGCGTATATTTCTAGACCTTACTATTACTGCGCGCTTCTTTTAACAGCGCTGTATCCTTACAGTCTGTAATAAGGCAGTTATAGAGATTAATAATATCCTTCTTAGGCATTTTAAAGGTAATGTCTGGGAATTTATGTCTACAGATAAGGTATATTAGACAGAATTAAATAGTGTTAATTATCCTCTAAAGAATCTATTACAGACGTTTAATCTGCCTAGTTTGCCTCCTACTAGACTTTATTTAAAGGTTAGAGTTCTAGTTATTTTACTTTAGAATCTAGATCTTAGGGAAGGTTTGTGCAATAGGACCTAATTGTTAGTTACTGCCCTAGGTTAACAAGGCGTGTTTATGACTAGAAGGATCCTAGGGGGTGAATTTAACAGACAGACGCAAACTGTTGCTTAGATTAAATTAGTATTAGAGAATTACAACATCTTACCCTTTTCTATTATACGCTATTAGATACTTATCTAGTTGTGTTTTGCAATGTTTATTAACAAATTACAGGGCTAATCTATAGAGATTGTAGGTGTGGACCTGAGGCATCTAGTCTTTACGCATAGACAGCTTTATGTTGCGCTTTCTAGGGTTACAACTGTATCTAGCATATGTATTTTAAACTAGGCTAATTTAATAGGGCGTGTTGTTAATGTTGTGTACAAGGAGGTGTTATTATAATCTACTTAGTTATGTGCTGTGTTTTGTGCATGTATTAGCGATGCCTAGGTCACAATCTGCTGCACTTAAGGCGTAATCTAGCTAATTTAGCTAGGCGTAATTTAAAAAGGGCTTCTTCTTGCTTTTTTTTTTTTCTTTTTTATTCTACTTTCTCTGCTCTTTCTTTTTTACAGCCTTTGTCCTTTGTCTTTAACGTTTGTTTTGCTATAAGTATTACTTATAAGCTGTCTAATGCGTCTACTCTCTGCTATGTTTCTGCCTATAAGTGTTGTGCTACTAGTAAGCTATAGTCTAACCTTAGAAGGGATCTACAAGGTTAGTATTAGTAGGCTACTTATTAATTAGTTGCGCTCTACTTTAGTCTTACTAGTAAGAAAGTGCAGTTAGCAGACTATTCTTATATAAATGTATGTACTATTACTCCTTTAGTTACTAAGCTAATAGTGTTAGGCATATAACGTCCCTCTGTCATCCACCTGTCCCCCGCTGTATATACTAGAACATTAGGGTTGTCTACTTAATTAGCTATTTAATGTTTCTAGTAGTTTTGTAAATTAGACATAGTAGAGTTGTTATTAGGATATTAACCCCTAATATCTGCTTACTTTGTGGACATCTTTCTAGGGTCAGAACAACGTAGTCCAGGAGTGGCCTCTCTAGGATAGTCTGCTTTGCGTTCTGACTTTATCTAGTACTAGATCTAACGTTCCTCTGTTTAAATTTATCTATAATTAGCGTCTACTAAGGCTAATGTTTAAGGCTAATAGTATTAATTTCCCTTAGCATGTTTATATAGACAAAGTTATGCCCTATTATTATTAAGCGCAGTTAGAGGAATTCTATAGTTCTAAACCTTTAAACGTTTAGACTTAGCCTTATGCACATTAGGTTAGTAATTATATTTGCTAAAGTTTAGCTGTTTGCTTACTAGAAATCCTAGGCCTATACACTCTCTAGTTGTGATCTGTGTTGTCCTCTTGTAGCTAACTAGTATTCTAGTTAATTAGCTTACTTACCCTCTCTCTTGCTTACAGATAATAATCTAGACTATAAGAGTATTTTACCTAAAATACGCTCTAAATCTAATAACATATGCCTTATGTCTTTAAGCAAATATTTTAATTTAGAGACTAATAATAATTGTTAGATAGCGTAAGAAGAATATTAGGTTGTTACCTAAGTTAATAACAATACTATTTAGTAGGAAAGGGAGGAAAAACAGGAGATATAATGTTTACAGTAGCAGAAATGTTAATTTATAGATTAGATAACCTACTTAACTTAGACTAATATCTAGCATCTTATAGTTACGCGTAGGGATAGTTTGTATAATTATTATTTTACTTAATTTTATCCTTTATTAGTGTTAATTTACTAGAGTTTGTAAGTTACTTTGCACTTATTTGTCTAAAGTCCTTCTATTTACTAACAGACCTAAGCTGCTATTAGCTCTATATCTGTTGCATTTGTTAAGGCTAACTATTATTATTAGTAGGTATTATACTGTCATCTGTTTGCTTTGCTAGGTGGCATCCTGTCAAAAGCCGCCTGCTATCTAGCATGCAGTTCTTAATTTTCCTGTATAAAATTTTTTTTTTTTTTTAGGTATTTATAGGCCTAAGCGCTTTTTTATAGTGTTGTGTAGTAATTACTGTTATATTAAAATCTATTAGATTAGGCTAGAGATTGCTGTTATTTAAAGAAGTTATCTTTATACTGCTTACGTTTTCTGCTCTTAGTGTTACTGCTAACTTTTTTACTATATTTCTATATGTTGCTACTAGAGTTTTTAACATTGCAGCTAGATTTCTTATATTTGCTGCTAGACTTTATGTTGCTTAACTAGATTTTAACCTTACTATCTGATTTCTCTAATTCTGATTAGTCTAAATCTGGCTCCGCTTCTAGCTGATTAGCCTAGGCAATTAACAGTAGAAGATTATGCTGTTCTCTAATCTTGCAACTGTATTTGCACAGCTAGCTAATAGAGTTCTCTATCTTGCTAACAGTATTAGTCATACCTGCTACTAGACTCTGCATAAGTTAGGAACGTCTGGCTATTAACATCTAATAGACATTAATAGTATAGTTAAGATTTATGCTAATATTGCTGCTAGAATTATAGTAGCTTGCAGCTAGAGTTAGAAGGGCTTACTTCTGCTTCTAATAGTATTTTAAAGGCTTAAGTCCTTTGTTTAGGAGATTATTTCTAGAAATCTTGCGCTTCTTAGGTGTAGTGTTAATTAATTGCTAATTGCCACTAGATGCATATTCTATATACTGTTAAAGTCTAGTAGAGTTAGCTGTGTATCTAACACTTACAGTTGTAGAACAAACACTTAGCCCCTTCACCTCTATAATAGCAGCATGCGCATAAACCCTTAAGAAAGCCTTAAACAGTAACGCATATTAGGAATTTCCTACTAGATGCTGCGCATTGTTTATAAGGAATTTGCTTAGCCCCTACTATAAACGCCTAGATAGCCTTAGCGCTCTGTAATTTATCTATGTTTAGAGACATAGTAATGCTATTACTATGCTTATCTACCTACAGTTAAAGGTATACTAGCTAATTTTATAGGAACTAGTGTAATTTATAGAATGCATTAGAGAATGTTTTTTTATTCTAAATAATCTAACTATTTGCTACTAGGTTAGTCTAGTAGTTGTTCTAAATAACCTTTTTGCTGTTAACTACAATAATTCTCTGTTTTTTAGACAAATTATATTTAGATAAGGCTGTATTCTTAGATTTGTAAGGAGGATTAGTTTAAGCAGGCAGGGTGTAGCTAGATTTAGTAGGGGTTTAGCGTTGTGCAAAATCTCCTAGTAACTGCTATCTAAATTTAGGCAGGAAGAAACCTATTAGATTCTGTCTCTACATTAGGTTTTCTCTAGCTAATTAATGCAGCTTTTAGAATGCAAGAGTATACTCTAATCCTTAGTTTATGCTAGTATCTAGCTAATTTTAGTAGTTCTCCTACGCTTTGCTGTTGTTGTTATTGCTACCTCCCTTAATATTCCTGCCTTTACTGTTGCCAGCTTTATTGTTGCTATTACTTTTAGTAGTATTTTTTTTATCTACATTATTATTATTATCCTGCAGTTCTTTGTTGCCTAGACTAAACTGCAATAGGTAACTATTGCTTAGATAGTTATTGTTATCTACTACCTAGTTGTTGTAGACATTATCTGTGTTTATTTTGTTAGGATTAGCTATTAGGGTTGCTAGTTTTAGAGGTTTCTTGCTAGTAAACCTAGTGCGCGCAGATTAGAGCGCTTAAAAACATTAGCATCTAGGACAATCCCACAGTATACAGCTAGATTGTTATTAGAAGTTAGTAGTTACTTTACTAGACTTAGCTTTTTTAGTTTCCTTACTATTAAGATTGCTAAGGCTTAGGCAGAGAGCGTTAGGCCTGTTTGCTGTCTAATGTTAGTTGTATTTTATCATCTGCTAGCATTAGACTAGCTATATATACTTACTCTCACTTATCATTAACACAGAGCCCTTTGTTAAAGTTTTATGGTTAAGTAAAGGAGTAAGAGAGGCGATTAGTGGACATATATTAGATGCTGGCCTGTGCGCTAAGCGAGACGCCTGATTATGTCATCTAAGCTTCTGAAAAGGAAGGCTAATACCTGCTTGTAACTAACTTACAGCTAGCGAGATGCCTCACTCACCATACAAGATATTAGCAATATTGACATTGAGCGTTGATTTGCGGTGCCGGGACAATATGTTTCGGTGCCGGGGTTTTGCAGAAGCCACTCTTCCCAGATGGGGTCGTTCGAGCGCCACACCGGTATGGCACTTCCTGGTATGCATGGCCACAAACAGACGAGTAGTACACATACCAGCCGCAGGCACAATTGTTTGGATTCGAGGGGTCGTTGACCAGACGATTCTGGACATCAGCTCCCATTTGAGCTGCTGTAATTTGCGCTGCCATATTGATTGGAGAGCTGTTGATAAAGATATCTGAGGGGAAGCAAAGGGTCAGAACGGTATAGCAAGGATAATGCGATTGAGTACAATTGAAATTTTGGGCATGGTTAACTTATAACTTGTTACTTATAGTTGTCTTTCGGGCATGGTTACCATGCTCAGCAGAGGCTTCAATCGGCTTCAAGTCCTTAATTTGGGACCATTCTCTACATGATGATCTCTGGCCTATCGTTTCGCGCGCGCTTTCAGAGTTGGGATGAGGAGCGTTACCCGTTTTTCTCGCTTGACGCACGGGCTCACCTGGCGCACACTTTGCTCAGGAACACTAAAATTGTCACATAATACTAACTCCACTAATATAGACCTAATTTTAGAAGCGCTTGCAGCATTAAAATCCCTAGAGTTTAGAGAAAAAGTTAATATTACTTAAGTTATAAAAAAATATAGTGTTAAATAATTAACACTATTATAAAGGTAGCATAAAGTCTAGGGCTTCTATGTAGAGTAATATAAGAATTAACAACTTTTAAATAACTATTAGAAGAGAGAGCTCTTAGAATACATTAAAAGACTATGTAAGTAAGGGCTACCCCTTATAAAAAACATGCTACGCAACTTTACTACTAAAATAAGCAGTAAATAAGTAAGAAGCTTGTAGCTAAACTAGTTCCTTAAGTATTACTAAGTTAACCTAGTATTAAAGTAGACTACTAGCATTAATAAAAAAAGGAAGAGAGCTAATTCTACCTTTAAATATGCACTATATTTTAATCTCTTAAAGTGTAAGATTAAACAATATAATATCTAGCTAAAAGACATATATAATATAAATAAAAAAAGCTTCTTAATTAAAGTGCTTTTAAAGATAAAGCAGATCTTCTTTTAGCAAAAGTATAAAAAGAGTAGGATTAAGCAGATAGTTTAGAACAGCAACTATAAGTAAATAACAATAATTACTTATATATACACTAATAGATCCTCTTTCTTTTTAGGCCTTATCTACTAGGCAGTTATAAGTAATATTTAAGACTTATAGCTTTAAAACTTTAATCTTAAAATATATAAAGCTTTCTTTACTTTATTTTTAAGTAAATAGACTAATAACAACTTTAGGCTTTAATAGCTTAAGATAATCTTTAATAAAGAAACTAAACTAAAAGTGTAGTAAAAATACTAACTTTTTATCTTTAATAAACATAGATCTTATATAAACATAAAGTTTATTAAGTACTATAATAATAATAAGATTCTTCTAGCTATCTATCTCTTTTATAGTACTTATACACTTTAGCTACTTAATGTCTGCTTGTTTAAGCCTTTTTTATAAGCTTATACTTATAAAATAGCATAGTTTATAAAAAAATTTTAAGCTTTTTTTACTATTACTAAGAAGAATTTCTTCTGCATGTTCTAGGCAGCATAGAAAAGAGCTTTTACTACTAAAAATGTTTTTTTAAGGTTTAAAACTTATAGTCTTTATTTTTTTTAACCTTAATGTTATTTTAGACTAATTTAATAACTCTAAGGCTAAAAAACCTTTTTTTAGTAAAAGCTTAAAGTTAGTGCTTATAGCTAAAAATTAGAGGAAGATTACTAAGCTTTTAAAATTAGTTATTAATAATATATATAACTCTAAGGCTTAGTAGCTTTTATAAATAATTTACTTACTATTTACATAAAACATTCTTTTAAAACTAAAGGTTTACAGCCTTAAAAAAGCACTAGTTAATAAGAAAAAGTGTTAGTAAAAAAGTAAAGCTTTTTAGCTTAAACTTTTTTTTAATCTAAATAGTAAAGTAATTTTTTAAAGCCTAAATAAAGTCTAGCAAGCTTATAAGTAAAAAATAAAAAAAGTAAAAGCAGTAAAAGCAGAAAAACTTAAAAAAAAAGAAAATGCTAAGCATAAAGCTATAAAGAAAGTAGAGAAGAAGTAGGTTATAAAAAAAAGACAGCACATAAAGGCTACTGCAAAGGAAATCTAACTCTAAGAGCAGGCTTAGAAGCAGCAGAAGAAGGAGGATAATAAGTAAGCTAGATTAGCAGCTGCGCAGCTTTAAAAGGACATCTAATATGCTAAATAGGCTAAAAAAAGAAGTAAACAGCATTCTCTTAGTCCTTAGGATAATAGTAGTAATAAGGAATTAGTTGTAGAGGTTATTGCTGCCCCCTAGCTAACAAATTGCTAAGGGCGACAGATCAGCCTTCCTACTAGGTATCGCGACTAGATAATGACGTAGTTTTATTTACTATACTCTATTGCCTGTTACTCTACAAAATCTTGCAATAATTTGAATTATAGTGAGCTCTAGAGCTTTAAATCTATGTGAGGATATTGGCTGAAATCCGTGCGCCAGGTGAGGCCGTGCGTCAAGCGAGAAAAACGGGTACGCGAGGCGGGGCGTTACGCGATTGGTCACAGTATCCGCCGTCAATTTAGGCATCTACTGTCAGGAAGGCTCCAAACTTATCAAACGCGCTAGTCTAACACTGACTTCACAGCACGAGGAAGCGCCCACTTGTCTGGTGCTATGTTTGGAGCGTTTCTGACTCCGGCCAACTGTATCAAAGTATTTGGCGCTGAGGCGTGGACCGAACATTTTACTTTGGCCGAGGATTTCCCGGTAGACTCACAAATTTTCAATTCAAAAGCCCCGACAGTCCTTGTGTCGAGACTAATCTGTCATCCATGTCAATTCTTCCTTCAATTTACCATGATTAAACCTGAGGAAAGGTTCATGTCCGAGGGGCAGAGCTATTTTGGCTCGAGCGAAAACCCCGAAACCATAACTCATTGCAACGTTTGGGATTGGGATCAGCTACGCATGATCAAGGTTAAAGGCACCGCCAAGCTCTTTCCGCCTGACGAGGATGTTGAGGTTTCAATATTGGCACGATTCGCTGATTGCCTATCGCCTAAAGTTCGCGCGGTGACGGTCGACGACGAAGGGCTCATTTCTGAAATTTCCACAGATCTGGAAGAGGACGATACCATGTTTATTGGATATCTTTCTTTCTCAACCGCTGAATCACTTCACGATTGCCGTACAATCCAATACTCCAAATTGCAAGAGCTCGATCGGCTTGGACCAGGTGTTGATTTGTCAGCATACCACGACGAATCCAGGATTTCTCAAAAGGTTGCCTTCAAATTCAATCCTATTGGAAAGCCTCGGAGGCTGCAGATGGCATGGGATGAACTCAACTTGCTCAAAAGTCTGCCGCCGCACCAAAACATAGTACCTTTTGATCGCGTAGTCCTTGAAGACGTGGAGAATCGGGTAATTGGATTTACAACAAAGTATATTCCCGGCGGAACCCTTGATAATTCAAAGCTGCCTTTTCGTTTTAAGTGGCTGCAACAACTCACCCAGCTTGTTGATTTCTTAAATCTGGATCTGGGAATTATGCATCAAGACATTGCGCCCCGAAATCTACTCATCGACCCCGAAACGCAGAATATTCTTCTATTCGACTTTGACTGGGTTGCATGTGGAAAAAAGAACTTACTGGACGGGCGAGACGATGTGGCTGGCATGGTATTCACGCTATACGAGCTCATCACGGGTGATGGGTCCTTCACGAGCATCCCTCACTGGGAGCGAAATATGGAAACGGTACAGAACATATCAGAGTGGATTTGCAACCGTGAACTTGACTCTGACGTATCGACGTTCCGTAACTTTTTGAACGAATGGGTAACGACGCGAAGGTCCGGCGATGACATGCAACGATATCTCAACGCGCCCAACCGTCTCCTATGGCCGGACCTCCCAACACCGCCCGACTATAATGTACCTTTTGAGTTTGGCACGACTCTGGACGGAGAGACGAATTGGGCAACGGGTCCTCGGATGATGCGCACTGCGATGGAGAAAGGGCAATACGTCTTTCGCTGGGAAAGGCCGCCACAGAGCAGGTTAAACAAGTCCGAAAATGATGTGTGATAGCAAATCAACCACGGCGGCGCATCATCGACGGCTCGGACTATCTGCAAGGATTGTTTTACAGAGATTCAATAACAAGATGAGGAAGATTTTAATCTTGGTGACGTCTGGATTTAGTTTAAGATGTTTGATTCTTAAGCTCAAGACATTCATGCAGATCTGTTGCCAAACTCGATATGACCTGCGCAGAAACTGCGCATGTAAGCTACCTAGATAGCTGCTGTCCAGTAATCTCTGTCGCACGTGTCTCACGCGATATCATACCCATGTACTGCACTATTCACTCATTAGGCCTAGCTCCTTTCTCGTACAGGAAATAGTCAGCCCAGAGCTCTCTGGAGCTCCTCAGACATTACAATACACTCGTGCAATCCACTTTGCTCGGATCTCAATAGCTTGTCGACTCGCTTACCATATGTCCCCTTCTCAGCTCATGCAAGAATCTCCAGTTCGTCCGTTTGGCCCTACTTTCCTTAGCTGTTTCCTTCCATGGCGGGCATCTTTCCGCATCGCCTTTACAGAGCTTCCCCACCTCATGGGCTCAGCTTCCTTCACATCATGCATTCATCACTCACTATTGAGACCAGAAAACAGAGAGGCCATCTTCTCTCCCATGCTAGTAAACTTCTATAACGTCCCTCCATGCGTGGCGGAAAACCACCCGTGCCGGAAAATATAAGGGGTACTTTAACTTCAAGCGACAATAACTCTGCGCACACATTAAGCTTCATTAAAATTATATATAAATAGTGTGCTGTGGTTACTTTTAAACATTTAGGGCCTTTCTAATCTATGAATTACATTCGCATTGTCGCCTTCTCTCTTAGTTTGATCAGAGTCTTCTTTTATAGCGAAACAATCTCCATTCGCTAGAGCATCACCATTAAGCTTTTACTATTCACAGTACACATAGAAAGGCCACCACTTCCTAGCTGTGCTCAGGGCATCGATGCACTAGCCTGCCTAACCGAGAGGATCCCACAACACAGGCCTGTGTCGTGCCGGATTCGGTTTAGCAGGCCCTAACGCTAAGTAAAATTAGGTACAAAACTGACCGCAAGTTGCTATACGCGTTACATTTTAAGCAAGTGCCTACACTCTAAAGTTTTGTATGCAAAAGTAGTAGCTTAGACCCTAAAACTAAAGAATCTTACCTTGCATCTTAAAAAACCTATCTGATATATAGCCACGGATCTAGTCTAGTAATAACACGACCCGCCTCCTGAGATTTTCTTAGTCCACCCACGTGACCGTGGGCTTGAAGTCAAGCTTAGACCACATCTCTTCTAGAGGGTCTAGTCGCCTGTGTAATTTTTAGTGCGCAGATAACTGCAGAATTAAGTTGTGTCTAAAGTATCTTAACCTACAACGCAAGTTTACGTGTTTCCTGCTTGTATACTATTTTAGCATACCCTCTAAAAACATTAATAATTTATAGCTCTTTTTCTCTAGTGTAGAGGACCTCTTAACTAGTTCTTATTCCCCTACTATTATTAGCTTAATAGCAGTATATAAGCTCTAATAACTAAACTTACGCCTACTTTTTAATAAAGCTATTGCTCTGCTTAAAAATAGTATAAGTTATAACTTAAACCCTAGTTAAAAACAGGCCTTTAAGGACCTATATAGTAATTATAATAGTATACTTATTGCGCAAACTAGGTATAAAAAGACGCATGTTATTATAAGGTATTATGCAACACTAGATCCTTAGTTGTAGCTTATTACTCTTATTATAAGTCCTCTAAAGGCAATTAAACAGGGACAGGCATAAGAGGCTTATAAGCGCTACTATAGAATTAGTGTTCTTCTTTTTATTCTAAACAGCAATAGCAATACTACAGAACACTAGCATAATATTACTTAAAGCAGATATACTTATATCTAGTTATTAGCTAAAATTGTAGTTAAAGAAGCTTTAAATAAAGAAGATGTTATGAACCGCAGAAACAGGCATAAGGTTAGACCTGGGACAGTAGGGTTTTTTTCGCGCAAAGGGACAAAAACAGGTTCAAAAGCTACAGGCAGGCAGCGGTTAAGCTATATAGGCGTTGTGGCAGAAGAGAGAGTGGTTAAAAGGTAGGCATTAGAGAGGTCTTAACTGTTTTTAGTAAGAGGATTGTTTAGTAAGGCAGCAAGGGGCGCTAGCTGCATTTAGGGTTTTAGTGGAATTAAACACTATCCACCTCTAGCTGTTAGTAGTACATAGATAATAGACAGAAACATTTTACAAAGGCTCTGTAAGCTAGATTCTGTAATTTTGTATGCATCTATACAGTTTGTGGGTAGTTAGGAATAGCATTGTAGTACTTAGCTAGCATTAAGCGCTAGCTGCATTTAGGTTTTTAGTGGAATTAAACGCCATCCACCTCTAGCTATTAGTAGTACGTAGATAATAGACAGAAACGTTTTACAAAGGCTCTGTAAGCTAGATTCTGTAATTTTGTATGCATCTATATAGTTTGTAGGTAGTTAGGAATAGCATTATAGTACTTAGCTAGCATTAAGCGCTAGCCGCATTTAGGTTTTTAGTGGAATTAAACACTATCCACGTCTATCTGTTAGTAGTACATAAATAATAGATAGAAACGTTTTGCAAAGGCTCTACAAGCTAGATTCTGTAATATTATATGCATCTATATAGTTTGTTAGTAGTTAGGAATAGCATTATAGATAGTACTTAGCTAGCATTAGGTGCTAGCTGCATTTAGGTTTTTAGTAGAATTAAACAGCACCCACCTCTAGCAGTTAGTAGTA